TTTCCTACCATAATACTATAATATTTATTCGTAATTGGAGAAGGTATAATCATCAAAATTATATTAAATAATTGAAATACAATGCAAAGTTTAATAAATAAATAATTAAAAAATAAAATTTACATTCTAATTAAAGAGAACACAAGTAGATTATTGGAATTTTCGAACATTAAAATATTTAGGCGTTATGATTCACGGATGCATAATTTAAAAGTATACACATCTTCTTTATTAATCTGCAAAATAAATTTCGTGCCGAGTTCGCACAAAAAAATCTCCGTACAATTCAGGACATCGCGTAAAACGCGCGCGACACCAAATTACTTTCTTGTTAGTCGCACTCGCACAATTCCCGCCGCATTTTCCCGAATAATTTGTTATGTCGGAATGAGTTTGTCCGTAAAGCTGTGCTCGTCCTCGGACGCGAGTCATCGAGATTGCGCGTCCTCGACTCTTTTTCGCGGAGCTTTCGTTCGCCACCGTCTGGCTCGCGTGTAATGAAAATTTGTAAAATCTCTCGGCGAGAGGCGCGAACGACGACCAGGATGGGGGCGCCATCAATTAATCCCCATTCATGCCGATTGCAGCATTCTGAAAATTCACGCCGGTGTCGTCGCACCCGCCTCGTTTAGGAGTTATTTTTCTGTCGCGACGCTCTCCGATTTTCCGCCTCGCTTAAACGAGAAGCGTCTAAGTAAGTCGCTCTTTCCACCCACGCATCCTTGCAATTGAATTCGGGAGTAATCTCCGTCGCGGAGCCTGAATTTTGACGTCAGCTGCCTGGCTGAGTGATGTAAGGAAGAGTGAGTGGAATGAGATAGAAAAAAAATTGGGAATGTTCTTATATTAAAAATAAAAAGAAAGTGTAAAAGAGAGATATTTTTAATATATCGTCATTTATCATGTGTCTGATAATCCTGTATGTATAGCTAGCAAAAATTTACGATGAGAAAAGATATATTAGATATGAATTTTGATTTAAAAAATTCCGTATGGAATTTTTTTATCTTACTTATCGATTTGCACTATCTTTCGTTTGACTTTAATTCTTAATTTTTCATCCTTCATCCGTAAGATTTGCGAGATGACGCGGCGAAATTAATACATCGCATGCCGGAGCGAAAATCAACGAGAAAATCAACGTCGAAATTTAATCTCGATAATGAACGTCGTAGTCACACCGACGTGCGCGCGTTTAATGGCGCGTGTAGATGAACGAGATACATCCGACAATTTAGAGATCGATCACTCTGTCATCATGGTTTGCACGTGGTCGATTTCAACACTGGCACTGGGATATTTGCATGAAGGATTATTTCTTGGAAATTCGCGCAAGAAATAAAGACGCCCGGCAGCGGGACATCGTGTATGTATGTACAACAGTTCACGATAACGCGCGTGACGTTAATGAAACTCGTCTCGGGCGCACGAAGGGATACATTTTTCTAACTTTTGCGCGAAGTACGTAATTGTCGAGTATATCCGTCCTTTTTACACCACGCACTTTAAATTTTATTTTTCTGCGAATATCCGGGTATTTTTCACAGATAAGTTTAAATGCAAATTATTATTATCTCTGCTAAAAATCATGAAACGTATAATTACAAAATTCAAACTCGATGCTGAAATTCGCTCACTTTTATATTAAAGTCATCTTAAAAAACAGCGCATTAAACTTACATAAGCATGGCACAAAAATCTACATTTTATTTAAAAAAAATGATCTTTTTTCCAGAGCAGGAAATATCTCTAAAATGTCTCATTCTGATAATCTCCGAAAAAACGTGGCGTGTTCTTCACGTGTCGCATATGACAAATGTAAACGTTCGCGGGTCGACGGAGCCATTAGGAGAGCGAGTGTACTCTTGTTGACGCACGTGGACACCCACACGTATATATCCACGCAAGCGTGACATTAATGAAGCTCGTCCTGCGACTTGCGAAGGAACGTTACGTAAATGAATTCGGAAGGGGGATGAGTAGCTCGCGTTCTTTCGACTTTTTCGCTTTCGACTCTTCCTTCCCCGCGCAATCGAGTCACTTAATACTCGTCCGACCCCTTTAAGCCTCATCGACTTACGTAAGACGACGCCGATTCAATTTTACACCCTCCTTCTCGTGGAGGGCGAGGGTCGAATCGGAGAGCGATAAAGACCGCGGTCAAATTAGAATTATTGGGCACCCCCAAGCGCGCAGAAATGAATTAATAAATTACGGGGAGCTAGATGACTCTCCCTTTCCCTGCCCCTACCTTACTCCGAGGGGATGGGGACGTAGATACCACGCGCGATCGCGATATTAAAATCGACGGATGATTAATCTCCGTCCGTGGTTTCGTCCGGTTTTCGCATACAGTGCCGGCGCTATGAAAGAGCGGAAGAATGGCGGAAGTGTAATAGAGAGCAGGGGATGCAGGAACGAGGGGGGACGCGACAAAGCAAGGACCGAGCAATAGAGAGGAGCGAAAAGGGAAGATATCCAATCGATTACATCTAGTTTCTATGGCAGATCGATGTTAAGAGCGGGAACACGAGGATGACTGGATAAAATGCCAATACTGATCGAACATGTTGCATGAGACTCAACAATGACGATATTGCATTTTTTACGTGCACATCGATTTTTCTATTACCTTGCTAACATTCAAATCGAGTTACCATTGTCGCCCTAAAAATACTTTAAACGATTTAATAGAATATTTAATAGAATATTTAATATTTAACATTATTATTTAATATTTAGAATATTTATATAATATATAGAATATTTCTTAAATGAAAATTTTACAATGATATTAATATTGCATTTTTTTATGCGCATATCGATTTTTCTATTATCTTGCCAACATTCAAACCGAGTTACCATTGTCGCCCAAAGAATATTTTAGACGATTTAATATAGAATTTTTAATATTTAAGATTATTTAATTGTGTGTTTCTTAAATGAAAATTTTACAATGAAATTAATATTACATTTTTTACGTGCGTATCGATTTTGCTATTATCTTGCTAACATTCAAACCGAGTTACCACTGTCATCCCAAGAATATTTTAAACGATTTAATATAGAATATTTAATATTTAAGATTACTTAATTGTGTGTAGAATATTTAATATTTATATAATATATAGAATATTTTTTAAATGAAAATTTTACAATGAAATTAATATTGCATTTTTTACGTGCGTATCGATTTTGCTATTACCTTGCTAACATTTAAACCGAGTTATCATTGTCGCCCTAAGAATATTTTATACGATTTAATATCGAATATTTAATATTTAAAATACTTATATATATTTATATAATATATAATATTTATATAATATATAGAATATTTCTTAAATGAAAATTTTACATATAAACATCAAAACATCAAAACAAAATTTTACAATAAAATCGTTTATTTTATTTATATACTATTACTCTTAATGTAATCACATGGTTTCTATTAAAATTCTTTCTTGAAAAATAAAGTTGAAACAACATAAGAAACATATATAAAAAGCATTTTTTTCTCTCTTTCGTAAATATGCAAGATTAAAAAAATATGAGCGTTTATTCTCGAAAGTTTGTTTGATTTTTAATGTTTTTTATACGCAAAAGAGAAGTAAAGTATATTTCGAATATAAGATATATATGAAATATTATTAAAATAGATTTTATCATCCGCGGATCCATAAATATATTAATAAAACATGATAATTTAACCTAAAGGTGCCTGCAAAGTAACAGCAAAGGAGCGGATGAAACAATATCATTATACTTGTGTAACACACTTACTTATCGCGATCGTGTCTCGAAGAAGAATGCGAATGGAGTGGCTCGTGTTTCGCCGCATGAATGACAACAAGGTGATCACGTATATAAATGTAACGCGTTATACGCTACAGAAAACAAACTGATTTTTGCTCTTATAGGTTAAGTCACTAAAATACGTGCGATTTAATGTAGTTGCATCCGGGTGACTGCGGTAGATACGACTACCGTGGTTAGATGCCGCTGCAAATAGCGACGCGATCTTGCCCACTTAAACGCGGTATGCGAGCGCGTGACGTCACACCTGAAGTATTCGCCATTACGCAAAAAAGTTACGAAGAATAAGAGGATAAGGAACGACGCGCAGAAAGACAAAAATATTATTATTGTTCAATCAAGTTTCGTGCGCCATGAAAGAATATCATTATACTTGTGTAACACACTTACTTATCGCGATCGTGTCTCGAAGAAGAATGGAGAGGCTCGTGTCTCGCCGCATGAATGACAACAAGGTGATCACGTATATAAATGTAACGCGTTATACGTCACAGAAAACAAACCGAATTTTTACTTTTATAATTTAGGTCACTAAAATACGTGCGGTTTAATGTAGCTATTTTCAGGTGACTGCGATAGATACGATTATCGTGCTTAGACGTCGTTGTAAATAGCGACGCGATCTTGCCCACTTAAACGCGGTATGCGAGCGCGTGACGTCACACCTGAAGTATTCGCCATTACGCAAAAAAGTTACGAAGGATAAGAGGATAAGGAACGACGCGCAGAAAGACAAAAATATTATTATTGTTCAATCAAGTTTCGTGCGCCATGAAAGAATATCGTTATACTTGTGTAACACACTTACCTATCGTAATCCTGTCTCGAAGAAAATGCGAATGGAGAGGCTCGTGTCTCGCCGCATGAATGACAACAAGGTGATCACGTATTTAAACATAACGCGTTATACGTCGCAGAAAACAAACCGAATTTTTACTTTTAGGTCACTAAAATACGTACGATTGAACGTAGTTATTTTCAGGTGACCGCGATAGATGCGACTACCGTGGCTAGATATTAAACAATGCGACGCGACCTTGGCCTACTTTCCTATGCGAACGCGTGACGTCACGCGTGACGTACGCGTGACGTACGCGTGACGTCACGCGTGACGTCTCACCTGAAATATGCGCCATTACACAAAAAAGCTGCGAAGGATAAGGAGATGGGGAGCGACGCGCAGAAAGACAAAAAGATTATTATTGTTCAATCAGGTTTCGTACGTCAAGAAAAGTGTATCATTATAGTGCTCATGTAGTGTAATTATATAGTGTACCAAAAGTGCTTCATCAACGAGGAGTTTGATTAATCTTCGATGGATTCCATCTAATCTTTTGGTAAGGTTATTTTTTCTTACATATACTTAATAATTAAACGCGTTTCAGTGTCGCATAACTCTATGTGTTCCGAAATTACTGCCAGTACTGCAAATTATATGCACGTTACATGCATAGAATTCACGAACGTCTAGTGCACGTTATGTATATTGTATATTTTCAGTGCTGGCAGTAAACTGGCAGCAATTTCGGAACACGGTCTATGTGTCAATCTTATATATTTTCAGTTCTGTTGTGTTTTACTGTGGTTTATGATTGTAAAATTTTCATGTAGTATCGGTAATTTTATCTCGATAATTCGATATACGAGTGGAATTAACTCTGAAAGTCCTGTACACTACACGTAACACTATCATCACGTTGGCGTAACATTAAATATTCTTATATAAGTCTCAAATGGAGCAAAATACACCTGTCACTGACTCATGGTATCGTATCGCTGTAGATATTTAAAATCCATATAAGAATATTTGATGTTACATTAGTGAATATGATGTTATGTATAGTGTAGAATATTTTTTAAAAGTAGCAGTCATGTATACTGTCGCATTTAAAATACAATCGCGGTAAATATTACACACTTTTATAAATAATTTTCTCATATTATTTAATTTTGCTTTTTCGATTATTTATATGAAAGTTTATATCGAAGATTAAGTTTTCTTAGATTTTATAAACAATTATATCTATAAAAGGCTTTTTTCAGAATTTGCGTAAAATTTTCTACTAATTATCTACTTAAAAGACGAATGTAAAATTTAATTGCGCGTAATTATTTTTTAATATATTGATTATTCCTTTTGATACTTCCTTAACATATAATTTTAAATATGTTTGTATTTATATTTTATAGATCACGTTGTGTACAACGCTGCCATTGTGTGTCAGATGCTGTTGCGGTGAGTGATAAATTACTTTTTATTATGTCAGAATTATTGCAAAATATGATCGCTATTTTTCAAGAAAGTAGAATAATTCTATTAATCAATTGGCGTTCAAGAGACAGCAATAAGAATTTAATGACAATAGCAGAACAGTCGAATAGATCATTTAAAAATTAAGAAAGAGAGAGAGAGAGAGAAAAAAGAGATGGAAAAATATTTGTTTCATAACATAGCAAATAGTGTAACGGTTATTAGAGGGAAAAATTTTATATCCCTATCTTTTTACATTACGACGAGCAGTGAGAAAATCGATTATGCGCCATTGCGCGAACCCGGGGTATTATCGCAAATGGAAATTTTTTGCAACGTGGTGAAAACCTCTCCCAGGCCACGCGATCTCGTAAACTTCTGACCCGCGATCATTTCCATTCCCGCGTTAGAACGCACACATTTCGATTCGGGCTCGAATGAGAGTCGTTAATCCTCCGATAAATAAAAATTCGCATTGATTAGAGACGGACCGCGGCGAAAATAGAGCGACATTCGTTTACTCGTTAAAAAACTTTAAATAGGTTTAAAGCTCTAAATATAAATAGATTCACGATTTGTTTCGACATTTCGATTACATTTCGTGTATGAAATTGATTTTTTTCACAATTAACGCCGTTTGTAACGCATTTTTCACTTTGTACTCGTCTCCATGTTTTCTCGCAGACTGCTCGGTATATCACGCGATTCGTGTCAAATTTATAATCGTAGTGATTCTTTTGTCACGCGATATCACGAAGATCACGTCAGCAGGTGAAACGCGTCATCGGAATGCTAACAATAAGTATGCGTCTGTTTGATCTTCAAGGGATTTATCACGATATCTGACACATTTAAATTTCACAGAAAAATCGTGAATTTTATATCGGATACAATTACGAACTGTTAAATCACAATTGTAATAAATATTTCCATAAACATTTATTATAAATATCGAAGTTATATCTATAGCGTCGAATTATATTCAAACTAGGTTTCTGCAATAACTTATGACATTAAAGTTTCAGCGTAGAGATATATTCGGTATAATCGATCGTGATCGAATTTCGTAGCTCGATTCCCTATTGCGCGATAAGGTGGTCTTCGTCGCCGCGACTGATAGAAATTCACACCGATGAACGCGACACGATACGGCGCCGCATCTTCGGCGAGACCTGGCTGCACGATCCCAGGGGATGATGCGGTGCATGGCAATTTGCAGACTGTCCTTCTCTCTCTTTCTCTCCTTCTCCATCTCTCTCTCTTTCTCTCTCATCTCTTATCTGTCGCTAACCGCCGAGTTCTTGCGCTTTCTTTTTCTAATTTTTGTCGTAGATCTTACAAATGTCGAAAGAACACGCGAAAAGATAGGGATGCAAATATTGAAAAGAAAAGATAACAAATATAAAGGACCTATATAAACTTGTTTTAGGAATAAATTCCTCCGGAATGTGAGATATGATTCCGTGTTAATAAATAATTTACAACAAAATTAATCTTTTGATTAAAATAAAATAAAATAAAATAAAATAAAATGATGAACATGGACATGCGTCACGTCAGATGCTTTTAAGAATTTAATAGCATTATCCTAATTCGAAATATCAGTATATTCACAAAAATAGAATGAGAAATAATTTTTGCTGCGAAAAAGAAGGAGCGCATTAGTCGTTAAAATTTTGTCATATTTTTTCCAACGTATATGTATTCTTTCATATTTTCCATGTTGCTTGTGTTTATTGATATTTTGAACGCAAATGCCAGTCAGAATGCATAAAATCTGTGAAAAATATGAATGAATGATGTGAATAAATGCCGTAAATATTATATTTCTATCATCCACTTAGTTTCTATTTAGAAAATTATTCGTGAGTTCTTTTTCGAGAAAAATGCGAGAAAATAAATAACGTGACTATATTTTCAAGTATTGAGAGGAATATATTGATATTTTGTAATTTTAACGAAAAATTCAAGTCAAAAAGAAATATTTGGCACGAAGAATTCTTATTGTGTATGCATACGTGACGTAATCGAAAGCGTTATGCGATTGTGTATACGGATATTATTATTATAATGTAATATAAATACGTGAAAACTACGCGAAAGATGTGGCGGACTAGTATTTTCTTTAAAAACAATTTATATAACTCCATCTCAAAGATCAGTATAAGAATCGATAGAGAAGAGATAGATGAAAAGAGAAAGGACACTGACGTTACCGCGAAAAGAAAGATAGAAAAGCGGAAAAGGGAAGGAGGATAAGAGGGTGAGAAGGAAGGGCACATAGCTCGACGATGCTACATTATGTCAGGCATTTCCCGGAAGATAGTCTCGGGAGCGAGAACCGCGAAGATGTCGGTAAGAGATGAGGGGGTGGCGCGCGGGGGAGGCCAAATAAATACCTGACTAAATCGTCCGGAAAACTCATTCCATCCTTCGGGCGTCTCTTACGGGGTGCACCTTCAACCGCAGCCCGCCGTCGACGCGCTCGAGCGGATCCAGCGTTCCATTTCGCGATTTTCCTCGTGCGATTTCGCGGATCGGTAGGAATCACGATCCGGCGAAACTCGGTGACGAGCGCCGAAAACACTGGAACGTACGTATTACCAGAGCCCGGGATTCTCTTAGCGTCTTTCATTCATCCCGCGGAATTAACGTGCCTCGCAACAGATTTCGATTAACGCCGCGTATGTTACATTTCATCGGATAACGCGTGATTCGCGAACTGATAAAGTGATTAATTATCTGGAAGTAACAAGATTATCTGGAATATTTCTCTAACGATATTACTTTAATGATATTATTAGTCTCTTTTCCTTCATGCGACCATTAAGGAAATGTTTCTTCTTTGAAGGAAAAATGTTTTCTTCTTTATTTTTTTTCTCTTTTCGATGGGTCAAGATATTACTTAGAAATATTTTCTTTAACCATCAATCTTTCGTTATGCGACCATTAAAGGAAAAATATACCTTGTTTAGAAGAAAAATGTTTTCTTGTTTGATGTGTTGTTTAAAGTCATTTATACGTAAAATATAATAACGTAAAAGTCTGTTAATATAAGACCGATAATATTAACACATTATTAATCATTATTAGTAACAATTATGCATCCGCGAAATACATAATCAGTGAAAATTCTTTTTTCACTATGATTACGTTTTGATATAATTACAAAATATATTTTACATCGAGTGTTCGCGATAGGTTCGTACAATAATGTATAATGTAATATAACGTGGATTATATTAGATTTCATTGGACATTTATCAACGATAAGAGCGGCACGTCAAAATTATTCGTGTAAATTTTCGACGCGGCAACGCGACGTTTTCGGCTCGACTCGGAATCGTATCCGGTAATAGAAATTCAGCGTCGCGACGCTGTTACGCCGGCTGTAATCGATTTCAGGAAAGCAATTTGGGTTAAGTCGCGCCGTCGAAACAGATGCGACAAAGTGTCGCGCCCGCAAATGGTACGTCGAGTAAAGAGGGAAAGGGCGACGATAATTATTAAGCAAAGCGGATCAATTAATCTCATCAAATCGCCTCGAAAACTCATTTCGCTCTTGTGTTATTTCGCGTGTCTATTTTGTCGTCTAATCCTCTTCACGGTAATTATGGTGGTGTAACTTCAGGCCGGGCTTCATCACGTAAAAGGGTTATCGGGACTACAGCCGATAGTGGCCACGGACATAATGAAGCGGTGAGAAGTAGCCTGATCGGTATGTATATCGATAATCTATCGATGTGCCCACCATATATCGCGATAACAAGATCTCAGTGCACGTTTTCGTCATAGTTAAAAGAAAATTTAATATCAAAATATGTGATATTTTATATACAAAATATAAAGTAAAAGAATGCATTATAAAGAATGAATCTTTACATCTAAAGAATCTTTCCTCTTCATATTCGTCTTGATATTTTCTGACACTTTTCGTTATAATTTTAAAATTACTCGCTCAGTTTAAAATTAAATATATAAAGAGAGATTACACATAAATGTAACATTATAAGACGTAAAATGTGTGTGTGCAATTTAAAATTAAACTACGTGTGCGAAATTATATATATCATTTGAGAAAAATTTCGTTTAAAATATTTCGCTTGTTTCTATCTTTCTCTCTCTCTCTCTCTCTCTCTCTCTCTCTCTCTCTCTCTCTCTCTTTCTTTCTCTTTTTTTTTCGTTTATGCAATTGAGAAACCACGCGGGCTATGCATCGTCGGGCATGATAAGATCCACAGACTTTGGTGCATCCTCGGAATAACGCGAGTTATCCAATCTCTCGGAAGCGGTTCTTTCAAATTGATCGTGGAAAATACATATAGCGTTCGTATATCGGAAATAACCGTACGACGTATCGAATTTTATTTGCCGGCAATTTAGAGCACGTTGCGAGCTAAATCGGAAGACGCGGCGTTCTCGTTTAGATGAGTCTCGTGATGTACGATTTACAGAACGTTCCCTTACGTAAGTACATAAGAAGTTCAATGTATCCTTTGAAGAGTTTCACAATCGATACTTTCGCAATGGCAATCTGATCAGCTATTAATATTGAGATTATTCTTAATTATCAAACAATTAGGAACAAAATAAAATTATTATTAATTTAATTGAAAATTAATTAAGAACAAAACTATTTAATAATTTGTAGCTTTTTACTTAAATACTGGATGATACTTTTGTGGTGATAAATGTAGATGATATGTTATAATTTTTATAAATTATACTTTGTGTTAATACTTTGATGTATAAGAAGAATATAAAAAGGAAATTGATTTTTGATATGACACTAAGCTTCTCTCAAGTTAGCTCTTTATTTGATATTAAAAATAAATAAGTTGAAAAAGATGATATATATTCCCTGAAAAAGACGCGTTGAAAAAAGATACGTTGAAAAAAAGCATCATTTATAATTTCGCCAAGTAATTCATGGATAAAGCTAATCTCATGATGTATCTATGTCATCCTGAGTTTCAATACCGGGG